ACCCTTTCTAAACGATATATATCTGGAGGAGGCATACAAATACAAAAACCAATGAAAATATAGTCGAGCTTAGCTCACAGAATGTAAAATACTATTTTTCTTTGTATCAGCCTAAATTTCTTTCCAACCTTTTATCACAAATATATTTTTATTCTTATTTATCTCCTCAATTCGTTATTCCCTATTTTAGAAATTGCGGCTTCGCTGAGTTTACATTCATTTTTATTAGAATATATAGCTGAATACATACCCACATATTTATATTCTTATATGTGGAATTATATCTGTATACACACCGTCGTCTGTACTGTCAAAAAGATTCACATGACAAATGTCGAGTGAAACGTGATACTCCACTTGACCACAATAGCACTTCAATAAGCTGGATGCTTTTTTCCCAAGCTTATACTATGCCTCCTGAAAAGCTTTCTCACATTTCAAATATCGTATCACATTATACTCTTGATACAAAGCATACTTCGTACAACAAATTTCTCCATTTATATTTTTTTTTTATTTTTTGTATATGTGTATGTATGAATAAGCTCCCAATTTTTTTGCTTCGCACTTTTTTATACTGTCGAGATCAAATATTGAGTGGTACTTCTCGTACTTTTTTTACAATCAAATCATTTTATAGATAACCAATTGTAATTTTTATTTAAAGGGTGGAATTACCTTTTATTTTTAATATTATTTTATTTAAAACTTTGAAGAGTACAAAAACTATTTTTTTTTGAGGAGAAAATTTTTTTGCACAAGATATTAATTTTTCGGAAATTTTGAACAATTTTATTTTTCAGTTGAAGAAATAAAAATTGTTCTCACAGTAAATTTCTTGTTGAAAAAAATTTTTCTAAATTTGGAAAAAAACAAATTTTAAATAGTTTTTTTAAGAATTTTCATTCAAAATGTTTTTTTTTTTTAACGAGAAATTGTTAAAATTTTCCAAAAAAAAATTAATTTCTTGTGAAAAAAAAGTTCATATTTTTCAAAAGAAATTTCTTGTTGACAATAAGTTTTCTAGATTTAAGAATAAACAATTTTTGATTAAAATTCTCAAATTGTCAATCTAAAAATTTTTTTCTTAAAAAATTTTTATTTCTTTAACTGATAAAAAAAATTGTTTAAAAGTTAAATTCTTGTCACAAAAATGCGCATATTTTTCAAAAAAAAATTTCTTGTTCAAAATAATTTTTCTAGATTTAGAAAAAAACAATTTTGGATAAAAATTCTTAATGTCAATCTAAAATTTTTTTCTAAAAAAAAAGAGTAAAAAAAAATTTTATTTCTTCAACTAATAAATAAAATTGTTTAAAAGTTAATTTATAGTCACAAAAATGCGCATATATTTTTTCAAATAATTATTCTCCCACAGAGATTAAAAAAAAAATAAAACATTAAAAGTAAAAGTTGTGTCAAATTGTTTGGTATGAGTCAGCTGAGTCGGTTTGACAAAGTTTCATTAAATTTGTAGTATACTAAACTGATGGCGTAATATCGAAACTTGAATTTGTGAGGTAAGGAGAACAAACGTGGTCGTTGAATGCGGTGTTTCTGACGATGAAAGTTTGTTTGTGCCTCATGGCGACATTGCTGGTAACCTAACGATTCACTATATATACTATATATAATACGTGAGACATATATGTATATCACAAGAACACACAGATGAATAACTTGAGGTAATGGTTGGCTCCCGGGAGAACACGAGGTAAAGGCAAATGTCGACGCGACTTCCGACCTAGCTCCCACTTTCCACCTGCCGCCTCCGCGTAATTGCTCAAGAGTTACAAACTATTCTTCGATGATCTGATGCTACAATGTTAATAAATTAATAACAAACAATCTTTCCTTATTTTAATTAATAAATTCATTAATTATCGTAATTTATTTGATGGAATTACGATTGATAAGTTTTATTTTTAAATCAAATCAAGCGCGGTTGTAAAAAACATTTTTTTGGGAAATTTCAATAAAATATAAAAAGGTAAACCGAGTTGTGGGAAGCATATAGTTATAGAGTACTACAGCTATTGATGTATCAACATCGGAGTAATAAATTGCAGAGCTGAAATAAAAGTTTAGTGTAGAAATAAAATGAAATTCAGCAAAAGGAACAAAAAGAACATTGTTTTATACATATATGAAAAGATAAAAAATGAGTAAGAAGAAAAGAACAGCATGCCATGATTTTTCGCACCGGTTCGGTGATTTGCACGCTCATACATGTTTCGTACAATGAAAAATATACTGCGTCGTTAGCTGTTGGCTGAAATTAATACGGTTTTCTCGCGTGATTCTATTTACCTTTTTTTTTTTCTTACTGTTTATTATACCTTTAACGATTTTACCAGCGCGATTATTTTACTCTTTTATGTTTTTAGCAATAATGACAGTGTCGCATACAATAACATTTGCATGTGCGCCAGATTGCTTAGACAAAATTGTTAAAATTTTATTGTTAAACATTTATTTCTTAAACAAATTTTTATATTTTAATATTAATACACAGAAAGAAAATTAACTTAAATCAAGAGAAAAATTCTTGAACCAAGGATAATAATTTTTAAAAGTTTAATTGTCTTGAATTACCCGTGTAAAAATGATATGATATCATTATGAGGCTCATAATGAATATCATAATGAATCTCATATTTTGGCACCAATATGAGATTCATATAAAAGCCATATCAATACATTTGAAACCTGTATTAAGTAAAATACTTATGGAAACGAATTTTTTTTTAACTAGATTATAAAATTTTTATTTTTCTTATTGGAGAAAGCAAATTTCTAGTAATTTAAAATTATTATTAAATATAAAATTTGATCCACACGGATCAGTCTCATGGAGATTCGTGACAAATCCATAGTGACAAACGCATAATTTCATACTGAAGTCATAATAGTAACTGTGTAAACTTATGATGGAATCAGTCTGATATTTTTTTAAATTCATCATGATATTGTTGCCTTTTATTCATAATTCAAGAAAAACTTTTTTGTAACTGTTGGAAATTCATTAAGACAGTATCTCCATGATGATATTAATATAATTTCATTATGAAATCATAATGATATTAAAATGAATTAATAATTAAATGATGGTCATATCTTTATAAAATCATAATGATATCATAATGATATTGTTAGTCTTTTTAAATCATCATATAAAATTATTGAGTCATAACTATATACAGGAAATATTGCAAAATAATTAAATTGAAGAAATTTTTAGGAGGATTTTAATTGTTTTCAAAATAAGAAAATAATTATCTTGAGACGAAAAAATCTTTTCAGTCAAAAATTTGCTTTTAAACCAAGATAGTCAGTGTTTTTCTAAATATTCTTCTAAGTTAAGAAAGGCGAGGAGAAAAGTTAAGTAGTTCAACAGTATAGTGGATGATAAAAATACTGTTTTTCTCAATTATTATACATTTCCTCTGATTAATAGAAAAAATGAAAATTTTATTGATCTACTTAAAAAAAATTCGTTCCCACAGGTATTTTACTTATTACGGGTTTCTAAAGTATTGATATGGCTCTTATATGAATCTCATATTAGTGCCAAAATATGAGATTCATTATGAGCCTCATAATGATATCATATCATTTTTACACGGGTAAGGCGAAAAATTCTTGAATCAAGTAAAATTGACTTAAAGTAAAATTTCTTAGTTTAAGAATTTTTCTACTCAAATCAAAAAGATGAAAATCTTCAAAATTATTTACTTAATTCAAGTTAATTTTTTTTCGGTGCATATTCTTAATATTTAATAAATTTTTCTATCAGTGTAATATTCAAATTTTAACATTATTATTTTATAAGTTTGTTCTACTTAAATTTATATTATTTATAGGATTTTACTGTTGGTCTTTACGACAAAATGGAAAATAACTCAAGGTACATAAAACAGCAGGATATACAACTGAAAATATATACATAGCGTAAGGCAAATTAATCTCGTATTGTTAGCAATTTTGTTGATAATGGTGCAAGTAATGTATATATGATCATACAATCCCGTACTGCGCAGCACACTGAAGTACCTTACAATGAAGCAAAGGGTTTTATGTACAACGGACCGTCAAACACTCAAGATAACTGCAGAAGTAAATTCTGAAGCGTCAAATCGGTTTATTACCTTCGTAAAAAAAATAAAAAATGAAACGACAATTATACTTGAGATATTTTTGTTAGTATTTACGGTAATTAACGATTAATTTTCACCTTTATTATCAGTTAATAATTTGAAAATTATTCAATTTTTTTAACTTTTCAGATGGAAAATTTTTTTTTTGCATGACTCAAAAATGATAAATTTTATTACTTTAGATAACATAATAGAAGACAAATTTTCTTACATATTATATTAACAATAATCATAATAATGTAAATAGCCGATTGGCGTTTGTGCATTAAATAAATAAATAAAATCTTGCAGCGACTCGTAAAAAAAAAAAAAAAAAAAAAAAACATAAACATTAAGTAATTTATAATATTTTTTTTATTATTTATTAAAACAAAAATATCTAGTTTTAAACTTACTACGCAGTTAGAAAAAAAATTTTTTTTTTTATTTATTCAAGTATTAATTTTTTAAAAATATTTTCTGGACCCTTATGAGGAAAAAGGGCGTGAGAAATTTAGTAAGAGCTTAATTTTAAATTATCTAATAATTTAAATTCTCTAAAATCTGTTTATTCAGCGAGTTTCTGTACATCGATTACTTTTAATTGTTTTTAGTAATAATGATAGAAATTATCGGAAAGGTAATTAGATATTTATATAAAATTGTTATTTTTGGACTATTTATAAGCTGTAAACTAAACTTGTGAGAATATATTTATGCATAAAATAATAACAACACCAAACAAAGAAACTAGCGATAAAAAAAATTCAAGGATACAATGGCCGATACTAGTATATAAAGTAGTGAAAAAAAATTTCAGTATAATTTTTTATAAAATTGTTGTCAAACTAAAGAGTTTTAAAGATGTCGAAGATATTTCTATTTCTTTTTATTTTCGGAGCGGTTACCATCGATTTGATAAATGCTTGTGTTGAACATCGTGGTGCAGTAAGTATAGAATAATGTATTTTATAGATTTTGTTGAAAATATATCAGATGAATTTATTAAAAAATTTTTTTCATTTATATTTTTAAGTGTAATTATTGGACGGCGACTTATTGCTGTGATGATAAGGACGATAATTTTTTAATTTGCTGTACCAATACATGGGGGGCTGGGACGTGTGAGATTCACTATACCAGTGGCAATCTTTTTAGAACTTGTGCAACCGCATATACTTAATCTATGTTATCATACAAGTTTTTCATATATTTATATAAGGATCATTTAATACTTATATTGAATAAATAGATACTTTTATCCGAATAATAATTATTGTTCATTCATTTTTTTATTTACTTACATATTAATGTTATCATGTAATATATATATATATATATGAAAAATTGATGTGGGTACCCAAATAAAAGGTCTCGATGAGTGTATGTCGTGGTGAGCTTATATCTTTTAAAATGTCAATATTTTACAAGATATTTGTTAAATTGCACTGTACTTTCTTAACTATTGACGTTTTTAAAGATATAAGCTCATCCCGATGTTACACTTTAAGTGTAACATCGGGATGAGCTTTCGGGATAATATCAAGAGCTTTCATTTGAGTACCCACATGCATTTTGATATATTTTTCATATAATATACATATACATAATATATATAAATATATGAAAAATTGATGTGGATACTTAAATGAAAGGTCTTGATGAGTGTAACATCGGGATGAGCTTATATCTTTAAAAATGTCAATAGTTCACAAGATACAAGGTCATTTCTTAATTATGTATCTAGAGATAGAGCATTTTCGAATGCAGCCTAAATACTTATCATCATAAATTGACTATTGGTGAGAATGATATGAAACCTTGAAAAGGCACAATTCCAGGTCAATACCTTTCCAACGATACCAAATTTAACCATCAAAACCCATTTTATCATATAAATACACTGGTCACAAAATTTCGCTTATTCTCTTAATAATATAGATTAATACACTGATAAAAAAAAAATTTGATTCAATCAAAAAATCCTTTAATTAAAAAAATTAAATACCTTACAAATGCCACTCAAAAATTCTGATCGCTTTGGTGTAAAAAATATATATAAGTTACATAAAAATGTATTTTTATAAGAAAATGTCAACCTAAATGTTCTTTCATGAGTCACATTAAATATTCCTTAAAGGCAATAACTTGATCATCTCAATTTTCCCGTTTTCACTCTTCTTGTTCGTCGCCGGAAAAGTTTGCATAATAACCGTAATAAGAGAGAGGAAATCGGTAAAGGGAAAAGGAGAGAGAGTGGAAAGGCTACTAGAAATGTCTGGAGTCTGGAGGTCTCAAAGATCGTTATAATGAGAAACGTTACTGACATCTTAACGACACAGGAGTGTCAGTACAGAGATAAAAGTAATGATCAAACGAAATTAGTTCTTCCCATCAACATCATCATCATCATCATCTCGAGCTATGGGCAAATCCCTAACGGGTTATCGTCATAAGTTTTCTCTGAGTCTCTCATAGGGATTATTACTGCTCGCAAATAGTAACGCATTTATTTTCACCTTTTATCTTATATTCGCTTTACTCTATTTGCGCAAAGTATATATGCACATAGGACTCATCAACTGGGTATTCATATAACGAGATAACGAAATATTTGAATACAGTATACATTGCAAAAAAAAAAAAACATTTTAACAAGGTTTTTAAATAAACCACCGCTGCGATTGGATGAAAATGAAATTCGATGAAAAATAAAAATATTTTTTTTAACAACTGATCGGATTTAATTGAAATATATTTTTAGTTTATAATAGACTCATTGTTTGAAGCTTTATTTATATTCAATTGTTTGGTAATTTTATTAACTTAAAGATTTCTGTTTCACGTATTGATAAAAACAATTTTTTTTTACTAATTTTGTTGATTCTTTTTTATTTTGGCTGGAGAAATAAAAATTTTTCTCACAGTAACTTTCTTGTTGAAAAAGTTTTCTAGATTCGGGAAAAAACAAATTTGGAAAAAAATTTTGATATCAATTCGCTGGCTTGCGTATAATTCAATTCACTGTCAGGGTTTTATCCGTCTAATCTATATTATTAAGAGAATAAGCAAAATTTTGTGGCCAGTATACAAGTTGCATTCAAAAATGCTCTATCTCTAGATACATAATTAAGAAATGACCTTGTATCTTGTGAACTATTGACATTTTTAGAGATATAAGCTCATCCCGATGTTACACTCATCAAGACCTTCAATTTGAATACTCACATCAATTTTTCATATATTTATATATATTATATATATATGTATACATGAAAAATATATCAAAATGCATGTGGGTACTTAAATGAAAGCTCTTGATGAGTGTAACATCGTGATGAGCTTATATCTTTAAAAAAACTTAATTTTAATATTACTTTTTATAAAATTACACTAAAAGAAAATTTTTTTTTGAAAAAAATGAAATTTGGTGACAAGAAAATTTTATTTCTTCGCTGAAGAAATAAAAATGATTAATATTTAAGATTTTTAAGAGCAAACTAAAAAAATTTCAATTTCAAATCCACAAATGCCGTATTTGATAAATATATAATAAATAATAATAAATTTAATTTTATAATGAAAATTTATAAAGAAACAAAATAAAGTATTATATAATTTAGCAAAGTAACATTAATAGAGTAACTTTAAAAATATCAACCTCAGAACTGTCGATATAATGTATATAAAACGGTAGTAAGTTATACGCTCGACTACATAACGTATCGAAAGCGGCGATATGAATATTTCATATTTACATTTTTATGGTTTATATTCATCCAAAGTAAATACATCTACATTTTCCACATATCATCGCAATTTTTCCGTTTTTTAAAGCATCAAAGGCACCATTTACATTTTCGATATCATTTTTATATCCAATCAAACAATAAAAATAAATAACTTTATAAATTTTTGAGTAAAACTTTTCTGAAGTACAAAACTTTAATTCTGGATTGAAATTAATTATCACTCCTAGTCAGTAATTTTATTACAACTTGAAATTTATTTTATTAAATTTATTTACTATTTATCACAAAAAAGTTTCTCTGGACAGTTAAAATTGAACATTATAACAAAGTCTCAGTAGACTTTCAACAAAGCTCGCTTTATTATTTTTCTTTCCTCGTAAAAATTAAGTCCTACAACGGAGCTCAAAAAATGATAACTTTCCTTACAGCTACTCTTTATTCTATTCAACTAGCTTATTTAACTAATTTTAATAATAAAAATAAAGATAAAAGAAATAATAGTAGCAGTAATATTAATAATAATAAAGAATCTTTACAATATAAACTTGAAAAAAAAAAAGCTCGAGTCTATTATACATTTTTCTTTTGTATAAAAGTTCTAATGTCCCAGAGGAATCGAAAGAAAGCCATAACTTCTTTTATCACGAGGGAACAAAGTATTCCGAAGGATTATTCTGAATATAAGAAGAACCACTGGTGGACTAGGACCACCCGATAATTCACCGTCAAAACAGTATAACTGAGAATGAAAGTTATCTTTCAGATCCTTTCTACACTCTTAAATATTGTATGTATATAAATGTACAAATGCCATCCACCGAACAGACGATAAATTCTTTTCATAACTTCGTAAATCTTGCGGCCAAATTTTTTACATTCTCTATTATTTTTTTTCGACCATTATTGCCTCTTTAGATTTATTTATTCAATATAAATTCCAGTTTTATAACCTTTTTTTATCAGCCAATTTTTATAAAGTCACAAAGAAAAATTGTGGATAGAATTGCCCTCAGGGCAGCTCGGGCTTTTTTAAATTTTTACCAACTCGACGACAAAAAATTGAGTTTACTAAAATTATTAAGTCTGAAATGAATTTTTATTTTTCAATTTCCGCTTTAAAATTGAGATTATTTTTTATTTTTCCATTAATCAGACCAGTATTTTATTTTAATAAATAAATTAATCAATATGGAATTTATTAAATTTAAATTAAAAAATAAAAATTTTAAATCTGGAATTATTTTTTTACACTCGTCCTAGTTTCTTGTATTTTATTCCACATATGTCGCCAAAAACGGTAATACTTTTCCAGAGGAAATAATTTTTTTCAGTTCACCGATGATATTACCATACAAACTCGAATATGTGGAGAATAAATTTAAAGAGGTACTGGGCGACTACTTGAAATACACAAGCAATAACCTAGTCGACGGCTAGCTCATTTAGAACGTCTGTTTCAATCAGACTGATTGAATGAACAATCTGCGACTGACATTTTTTTTTGTAGCGTTCTTAGCCGCTAAAATAAAACTCCATTTTATCGGAGAAATATAATATTATATCGCTGTTAATTAAGCGAGACCTGATAATTAATAATTAATAAAAAAATTAAACAAACCATGCGATACATTGAGAAAAAATTTTTTTTGAAAAATTTTTAATAATTTTATTATTTAGAAGAAATAAAAGTTTTTCTTACAGTGAATTTTTTATAAAGGAAAGTTTTCTTAATTTAGGAAGAAACAATTTTGGGTGAAAATTCTCAAGTTGCACACAGTAAAAAATATTGTGTAAAATCAACAAAATTTCTGTGTTAAATACCGTCAACACAAAATTAGTGTTAAATTTGTGTTGTTTCAACACAAAGCTTGTGTCATTTTAACACAAAAGTGTGTTGAATTTTAACTCTAATTTTGTGTTGGCGGTATTTAACACAATATTTTTTACTGTGTAAATCTAAAACTGTTTTTTTCAAAATTTAGAAAACTTTCCTCCAATAAAAAAGCCATTTTATCGTATAAATACACTGACCACACTGATAGAAGGATTTATTTGTATCAAAAAATATTTATTAATAGTTAACAAATCATTTTTAAATATTAAACAAATATTTCTTAGTATTTAAAATGATTTGTTTGTATTTAATAAATCTGATATTCATTTATTAAATATTAATAAATCTTTTTAAATACTAAGAAATATTTGTTAAGGATTAAAAAGTGGTCTCTAATAAATGATTTGTTAAATATTAACAAATATTTTTAATTTTAAACAAATCTTGGATCAGTGTACAAAATTTCGCTTACTCTTTTAATAATATAGATAATGAAGTTTGAAGACAGAAAGAAAAAATGAAAGCTAATATCTTCCAGGAAGTAATAATTGAATTCTATTAATACTTATATTATCAATGAAAAATCTCATTAAAATG